GGTGAGTAGTTGGTATCTATTGTTAAATGAAGGTTTATGGTCTGGGGTCTGGTGAATTAGCATTTTGTTTAATTGAACTATCATATTTTCTAAAAAATTTTGAATTCTCTAACAATTTGAAAGTCAAAGGCCAGATGGTCAAGTCGCTTAGAAGTCAGTCTATTTGTCTGGAGGACCCGAAATATAATGAGGGCAACACCAGAAATTTTTCATGGGCTGTCTGGTTCCTTCATCATATAATCTTTGGATGGTGGATTTGGCCAGACCATTGTTGGTCTGGCCAAATCCACAAAGGGTATAGGAAAAAAGATCTCTTAGTGCTTTTAAAGGCCACAGGAGAGTTTAAAATTGATTTTTAATGAGAACATTAAATGAGAACTTTAAACAATTTATAAAATTCATAAGCAAGCTTTCTTCTGCTTATAACATTATTTTAATATAGATTATGAAAACTCACCAGTAGTCTAGTGGATAAAACCACTAAACACTGGTAGTTGATTGTGGGTTCATGTCTCATCAACAGACTGGCCATGTAAAGTTTTCCAAATTTTTCTTTATGTCTCTAACACCTAAGTAGGAGCCACTCCTCCTATGGGACATCCGCTCTTGGAAGATCTACCAAACTATAGTTTATGAATTAATAAAAACTATATATTAATAATTTTTGAATATCCAGATAAATATTTTTGCCAATTATTTATAAACTTATTAAATAAATCTCCATTAAAAACAATCCAACCTAAAGTAAACTTTTGAAAACTTTTAAGAAACATTAATTCTATGAAAATCCCCCAAAATAAACTCATCAATAATAAATATCACAAAATAAAATCTTTAAAAGAAGTAATACTTTTAGTTACTCCATGTCAATCTGTACATATTTGTTTGATTGGACAAGGCAATGCAACATTTATGCAATCTGTAAATGGGTAGGTGCATCACAGGAGACTTTTTATATATTATATATTGTTACTAACAACTAAATATAGGTCATAATAGGACACACTTCCTTTCAAAACCTCCCTCACATTTCAAACAGATTGAAATCAATATAAACAACAAATGGTTGGTTAAAGAAAATCTAGCAACGAGTTGCATAACTTTCCCAGCTGTAATGATATTTTATTTTAAAAATTATTTATTTATTATGATTAACAATTATAAAGTAAAATTATATGTGGTGCCATCTATTATGAGATTTTNGTTATATATTAATGCAAACACTCATTTATAGTATTGTAAGCATTTTTAGTAATGATTACCATAGATATATGACTGAATATTTACAGTATCAGTACATTCACATTTAATTTAAATTGAAACAGTTTCAATTTTCTTCAAAAGTTTCAAATGAAATTCAATTTTAATTTTAGGTTTTTGTCTCTTATTTGTGCAGAAATATGATATTCAAAAATTTGTTAAATTACAATAACTTTAAATTATACATCGTGTTTTGTAAATTCTCAATCATCGGTAAGTTTTAATAGTTTTGACCAAATATTTACTTTATTCAGTCCAGCAGAACTTTACTGGAAATATAATCATAAATTATATGTACTTTACTTTATAGACTTTAAACAGGCATTTGACTCAATCAACATAGAAAAGTTATTGGAGATTCTGAGACAAAAACCTATAGATAACACTATTCTGTGCTTTCTGGCAAATCATTTAAACAACACTAACAGAATAGTAAAATACAATAGTCTTGCCACAGACAAGATAACAATGAAGAGAGGGGTAACACAAGGCTGCCTGCTCTCACCCCTCAATATATAACTTGAAGAAATAGCAAATAAGGCACTGATTGATTTGAATAGTACTAGTGAGGTTGAGGCCAAACTTTTAAATGCGAAAACGTGTACGTCAGACATTCAGCACTGCTTTCCTATAAGCCTAGAAGTTTGGCAATGATGTTTGGGACGTCGAGCATGATTCCACTGACTATCCAAACACCATTGTCAAACTTCTGCTTATAGGAAAGTGGCGCTGAATGTCCAACGTAAATGTTTTCACATTTAAAACTTCAGCCTCAACCTAGCTAAAGAAAAGAAAATTAATTATAAAATGAATATTAAAAATATATAAAGAATTTAATATTGAGGGTAGAGATGAGTTTAATAAAGATCTGTAAATGCTAACAAGTAAAATATTCATTAAGACCAACCCCACGCAAGATATGACACGTGACCACCCTCTATCTCCCCCTCCCTCTTGACCTTTCATCACTAAAATTTAATAACATCAATGCCTTTTATACACAAGCTACCGTGCCAAATTTCTTAATCTTCACCCCATCCTGAGATCTTAAACAAAATAGACTCCAACACACACAGTGGTGATATTCAGCGGGTTCGCACAGGTTCGGCCGAACCCGTTGTTAACATTTTCAAAGTTTTCCGAACCCGTTGTTAAACGCACGTAACTCAGTGATTTTGTTTCTTTTAAAAAATATATTAAAATATACGTATTATACTCTGTAACACTACTAAACTAGAGCCTTATACTCTGTTCGCCTAGTGCAACCTCCATCGAACGTTTGTATCTCGACTAAGACGAGGTTCAATCGCGATCGACTCGAGAGAGTTCTCGAAACTAGATCCAGTCATAAGAGAGATCCCACAATCCCACGCGCGCGAGAAAATACAAGATGGCTGCGGAACACGTGTCGGGCTATCAACAGCGAAATAAGAAAGATATTGTATTTCGAGAGACGATGACATCTGTCTATTATTATAATAATACCTAACGATAAAATAAATGATTTAGAAAAGTTTTTCTTGTTTAACTGCTTTCCCTATGACTTTTTCTGATTAAAAAAAGCCAATTTTTATGTTTATAAAATATTTTGAATGAAAAATATTAAAATATGTACAATATAAACCATTTTGAACACTCTTTTTTATTATTTATAAAAAAAAATATAGTTCTGGCATAAACAATGTTAAATTTTAACTGACTAATTTTGCGAACGCATCTTTTTTATTTATATGGATATCTTAAGGTCACTTTTTGCGCTAATGTTGCTAATGCACCATTTGAGCGAAAAAAAAATTGTTAAGGAAAAATTTTGTTAGCGAACCCTTTGTTAAATATTTCGAATATCAGCACTGAACACACATACACAGAACATTTTCGCTTTTTTTTTTTGACTTTTTTGAGTTCAGGGGGTCTCAAAACAGATTTGCAAAAAACTAGAAAGGTCAAATTTGACACAATTTCAATACTTTCCCTTGTTATGTATACATAACAGCCAGGAAAGTAAAAGGAATGTTTGTGCATTTTGTGAGTTCAAGTCTCGTATACGACAGAATACAATTAATTGGTTAAAGCATCAATCTATTGATCTGTAAGACCTGGGATCGAATCCAGATGAGAAATTTTTTGGGGGCAATTGGGTCCCATCCTTCATCACCCATTGTGACCTGGCTGAAACAATAATGGGTATGGAAAAAAAATCCCCCTCTTAATGCTCAAAGAATGGAAAGACTCAAAAATAAAATGTGAGAAAGGAAACAAAACTTAAAATATAAATAGAAAAAAAATGAACTATTTTAATTAGTTTTCAGTTTTGATTGTAAATATGTTTTCATTAATTTAAAATTTTATACTTTATCTATTTATTTTATATTAAAAATCTTTATTGTTTTGTCTGTATATATAATGTCTAACAAATGTATATATAATGCAATTTCAATAACTCTAAATTCAAACTTTGTTTTTTAATAGAAACCTCCAATTCTTAACAAATGACACAAGTAAACGGCTGGATGGACTAGATTATTACAATCTCATCTTACCATACTGGGACCTGATATGAAATGTGGGAAGTCAACAAACCCCAGTAATTTTTCATTTTTCCCAAATATGTCAGGTCAGGTCCATTCTTCCCATTTGTGGAGCTGGCAGAACCCAATGCCTATATAAAAAAAGGATCCCTTAATGCCCATATGAAAGTTCAATTATTTATTTATAAACTAGCTGCAAGGACCCGCTTCGCTGGGTTTTTATTTGTGGGAAAAAAGTAATGATAGTGAAGATTAAGATAATTACATTATAGCCAATCTTACCCGTTTTCACAGAATGCAAGAATTAGGTCCCCCGTTTCCAGACTAATTTGAGAATTTTTACGTCCAGTCAAACAAACTATTTTCAATTTGATCAATTTTCTGGAATGTTTACAATCGTTCTATAATTGAACCAATTCAAATTCAAATTCGAAAATTTTTAAAATCAAAATAGAAAATATTCCACTTTCAACCACTTTCAAGCCCATATCTCCCGCACCCTTATAGCTATCGAGACGCAACCACCATAGTGCATGAATGGAGACTTGGGGCTACTACCACATACAAACACCATTCATGTGCGATGTGTAGTTTTGGCTGAAAAGTGAAATATAGGGACACACACGTCCATTTATATATATATATATATATATTTATAATATATATATAGATTAATAAATAACTGAATTAGTTGATGTCTTCACAAAAAGTCTAAAAAGTTTATAATAATTTGGCAATCATCACTATATATATACACAGGATGAGTCAAAATTATGTGAACAATCTTAATTTTTAATTAAACATTATTAATGAAACATCTTAATTTTGTTTCGTTTTCTATTCTGATTGGTCACGACAGACCATTGTTATGGCCTCCCCAATCTCCGGTGTTCTGGCACTAAATTGTACTGTTGAATAATGGTTTAAGTGAATTAATTGTGCTGGTGGTCAGGTTGAGACTCTGTATAATGCAAACTTTGAGTAAATGCTCTCTCTCAAATAGTGTTCACATAATTTTGACTCACCTGTATATATATATATATATACAGGTGATATATATACTACAGGTGATATATACAGGTGATATATATACTACAGGTGATATATACAGGTGATATATATACTATATATATATAGTACATTTTTTTGATGATTACTCATAATTAAATTAGAGCAAAAATACTGATAAATACATTATACTTATTAAATTACCTCTATATTTCCGTGGATATCATTCTTGACAGGATAAAAAGCAGTTCCTAGTAATTCTAAAAGCAAAAAATTCGAACTTTCATTAGAAAAACTTTTGAATTGAAGTGAATTTTACTAATTTATATATAATGTACAGTACATTCATATACACTCAATTACCTAAAAGTAACAGCTACCGTAAAAAGTATTTTGTTAGGTGTTATATTATAAAATTGTTCACTTATGATTTAAAATAGTCCACTTACCTACAAATTTTTCTATGCCACGAGAAGCTTCTAGGAATAAAAATAAATCTATTTTTCCTTCGGCATTCACCTCCGGATAGCGATATTGGCCGAAAAACATAATCACAACAAACACACAATAAACACGAGTTCACTTACGAAAAAAAAGCGACATCTGCCTTTAAATACCTCAGAGCTATTAAAGATTTAAAATATATTCATTAAAAGTAATTACTTTTGAAAATAACAAATTTTATTTTAAACTTTATTATTATTACTATTTTAAATTAATTAATAATTTTGCTGTTGTTTAAATTAATTATAATTTAATAAATTTAATAAAGGTAGTAAATATTTTTGTTTTCATTATTAAAACGTATTGGAAAGTTTGGTGGCGCTTTTACTTGATATTTCTTTTGCGTGTGTTGCACGTGTACGTTAATAAATAAGAAACATGGGTAAAAAGTTTAAAACTGGAAAGCAAAGAAGAGATAAATTTTATTTTCTTGCCAAAGAAACAGGTAAGTAATATTAATACAATTATTTTACGTTGTTAACTGTTTTAATGAAGATGAAAGTGATTGATTTATTCATACAGTATGTCCAATGGCAAGACGAAAGTTGTCACGTGTCTTTCTTTGATACTTTAAATTGAATAATTTGAATTTAAGGATTGGAAATGTTCATAATTTTATTTCAGTTCTAAACATCACAATTTAGCCTGAAATTCGGTTATTTTCAGTTATTTGATTTCATCCAAGAAACTTGTATTAAAATGCCCCCTTTGAAAAATGTTTAATTTACAATATAAAGAAATACAATATCTATTTTCTGTTCTAAGTTTATGAATATACAGTAGAGCATGGATTATCCGACTCAATTGGGGACTGGGGTAGGTCGGATAACCGAAAAGTATGAAAAAATACATTATTAGTAGACTAATATACTGTAGTATATTAGTATATCGCTATTAACCTACTTCGCGTTGAATTTTCATCGATGTTAAGCCTAACAAAATTTTTTAAAAATAATAATCGTCGCTATTGTATCGTTAAAAATTATTTTAAAATTTATTTTATTGCTCACAAAACAAACAACCACTAAGAATTAGAAAATTAAGCCTCGTTTAAATACTGGCCTCCTGTTCATGGTCGAGTCAGTGTTGCCAGCTAAAACACGCAACAATTTAACAAAAATAATATTAAAGTAGCCAAGACATAGCCAAATATTGTAGCGCCACATCACTAGCAGGCATTTGAATTTGCCGACTAGAACCTGGTCGGTTAACCGATGTGATGGTTGATTGGAAGTGGGATAATCAATGCTCTACTGTATTAAATTTATTAAAATGAATCATTCTCTGAAAAAAATAAGAAGCAAAATTGAAATACATCATTTACATTAGTGATTCTCAATCTGTTTTAACACTAGCGTTACCACCTGCCGGTTTTCACCCAGACAGTCCTGGAATTGACTCACTGTCCAGGTGAACTATTAATTTTGTCCGGGAGTTTCGTAGAAATTACGATGAAACAAAGTTCTTGCAAATATTTTTACAAATTTACACTATTTTAACAGCGGAAGAACTCGCACTCACTGAAACTCATCTGCGATTCTGCATGTTGGTCTGTTTACATGTGGCATGCAACTCATCATTTATTTTTCTGCATATACAATCATACACATCTACGGGCTAATCTAGCACGTTATTCTTCGCATTGTAAAATGACATTGTGCATGCGTCAGGAACTTCTGTTTGAACAAACCTCACCTGCCATCCGGGTCAGCAATTTTGAAAAGGTGGCAACACTACACACAACCCTAAAAAGCAACCTATAAAACCTATTGAAAATCTCACCTGTCAATATTTCACTCATTGGCACCATAACCTAAAAACTATATATATATAATTTATACATATAGGCCTATATATAGATTTAATAATAATAAAATAGAATAGAATGAAATATCAGCAATTAGTCATTTAATAATCTTACAGATTGAAGTAGCAGTGGGTTTTCACCATTATGTATTTTTGTCTTGAGGAACCCCTACATATCTTGTATATATACAAGGTGATTTTTAATTCTTGCAAAACTTTAAACTTTAATAACTTTTTACCTGAATGAGATAGAACTAAAATTCAAAATGTAGTATATACTACAATGTTTACAATTTTAATGTCAAAGATTGATTAATGTTAACAGTCATTTTTAAAATGGTGGCACTCACTTTAGAACAACATGTTTATTGTAAAAAAATTATCATCAAAATTCTAATTCTTTAATTAGTGTGCTATCAGTATTAGCAGATTTATTGGACCATTCTTCTTCAAAGTTACAGTTGAGTCCTGTACAACACACAAATAAAACAAGCAACACCCTCGAATTTTGTCACTCAGAGGTATGTTTTTTTCAACTTATAGGCAAAGGTTTAAACTTTCATAAATCGTGTGATAATGCAGGTTTCGATAATGTGATTTCCTATAATGCATAATGAATCCCCACATTGCACGGGATTCTACTGTACTTCTGCTCCTTATGTTAAATTATTGGAAAAGAAGTTTTATCCCAAAATGCTTGTTGGTCATAAACATTGTCCTGCTTGGTTTATGCAAGATGGTGAAGCCCCATCACACAAAGCAAGTCTACAAAAGCCTTTACAGCATGTTTGAGAAGCATGTAATCAGATTAGATTATGAAAAATATACTGATGGTGGTGTGGAGTGGCTGCCTTATAGCCCTGACTTAAATCCATGCAATTTCTTTTTATGGGGCTATCGTAAAGACAGAATATATCACAATGTTCTTACAACTATTCAAGTGTTGATAGACACAATAAAAAAAAAAAGAAATAATGGTGATTCCAAGAAATTATCATTATTGAATGTTTCAAAAATTGATTAAAAGCTATTTTTGCTAGCAAAGTAGTCATTTTGGAAACTTAATTCATTAAATGGCAATAAATTTTGTATAATATGCTTTTTGAATTTCATTTTTATCTCATATAGTCGAAAAGTTATTAAAGTTTTGCATGAATTAAAAACCTTTTAAATCAAGTTTTACAAGATTTTTTTTATTTAAACAAGTTGTATATGAAGTCTTTCAGACTTTAAGGTTAGCAACTTGGATCACATGCGGGCCCATCACAACCTAACCAATATGGGTAACTTTTCAAATATTAATAGTAGACAAATATTAATTAGTAGTCGTTGAATATCCTGTGATCCAGGAAAGGTCAATGACTACTTTGATCGAATTACTTCGAACCCCTTCCATAATGGTCCCTTCTTTCTATTGGACCAGGTATGGTGGCATTCAAATAGGAAAATTACATAATTCAATGTTACCAGCGAGCACAAAATATGATTTAAGCTGTTTTCAAGGGTGCCAAGTTTAAATATTTGGTCCATTTTTTACAAAATTTGATTTGTTGGCAGATTACTGTTTTATATTTGGCTGTGAATAATACAGTTTCTTAGAGTTAACATTTGAAAATATTATATCTGAAAAATTTAGCATATGTTTTCAATTCCTGTCTACTTGACCAATGAAACTGTACCATTTCGTACCATCTAAGTATCATGATAAACATGAAAATGGTAGGCTGAAATAACCAAACTCTTTATATGGTTTTCATTTTAATGTTCATTATCTTATAGTATTTGATTTATATAACAACAAATGTTATCTTGCATAAGGGTTTATCATATCGAGTGACCAATCTAACATATTTAAAAAATTTTTCTCCTTTGCTGTACACAATTTAAAGAATTTTTTAACTGTGTGACATTAGGCACTTGGTGTTTTTAACCCTTACATAAGATAGCATTCATAGTTATATAAATCAAGTACTATAATATAATATAATAGAAGGGTTAGAAGTATGAAAGAATATTATAATCTTAATATTTGCTGCTGTTATTTTTTGCCTGAGCAATGCTGGACTCATCTACTAGTGTTCAATAATGCAAAACCAAAATATAATTTTTTCTACTTTAGGTTTTAGATCAAGATCTGCTTTCAAGTTGATTCAGTTAAATAGAAAATTTGAATTCTTACAAAAGTCTAGAATTCTAATTGATCTTTGTGCTGCTCCTGGGGGATGGCTACAAGTTTCACAGAAATATATGCCTGTTTCAAGTCTTATAATAGGTAAATAATAATTTTTTTGTATTTATTTTAATTGAATTTTGTAAATATTATAAAAGATTTTTAAAATAAAATAACTTACTGGAATTTAATTAAAATAATCAAACCACCTTACTATTTCCAGCAACGTATTTAATAAATTTAAAAACGTTTTCGACTATATTTAATAGTCTTCATCAGTTAAGAACTTTAAAACGGAAAACGAACGTAAAATAGAATGTAAGCTATACAACGGTTTAAAAATTAAAATTAATTACGTAAAACATAAATAAAATAAAATATTAAGAAATTAATCGTGGTAACGAATGAAATTAAATTAAAATAATTAAAAAATAAAAATTAATCGTCATGGTAAAAAGATTTCCATGCGCAGGATAGACTTTCTGCGTCTCTATGGTTGATGCATCCTTTGTTGATATGCGCCTTGTAAATTTCAAGTTTTTCAATATGTTTAAGGACTTGTTTGTTGGTGGCTGTCCTAATTATAGATGCTTTGTCCCAATGTACATTAATATCTTGATGTTTAGCAAAGGCTGCAAGGACGGTGCTGTCCACGTTTTTAGTAATAGAATATTTATGTTCTTTAATCCTCTGTTTTAAAAGTCTCATGGTGGCACCAACGTAAACTAGCTCTGAATTAAAACGGCGATCACTTAATGGAATAGAATAAACTCCTGT